TTATTATGACAATGGTGTAGAAGAAACAGAATCTAAGAATATATATTAACTGAGGGCCATGAAAAACTCACAGCCTGACAAGCTAGAGTGAGAAGGACACTTCTTGGTTGAAACAAAGGCTAGAGTTAGAAATGGTAGGAAAATTGTAAGAAGCTTGTGTGTGGTGAAGAAGGCCACTTTCTCTAACGAATTCTGTCCTCTTCATTTTTATGGTCAATCAGTGCCCAGTTTGGAACAATTCTTCCCATTTTCACAGGAGACAGTATACAAAGAACAGTTGGTTTTGTCTAAATCTAGGAAGAGTAAGACACAGTCCCAAGCTTGAATGGAAAGCATTTTTATGCAAGTTCACATAATGTTTAGTTTAGATGGCTGTAATTTACTGAAACAAATTATTACAATTCCTACTAAATTTGAGCTTGGTTATTTTTTAGTTTAGGGACACAAAGAACATTTAAAATATACAGATATACAACAAATCTTAAATAATGCTGTAGAATATCTATATAAGATAGCTTATAAGTTATAACAAAAAAGCCTCAACTTTAAGAAGAAATAGAATATTAAGTTAGTAAATGAGTGCATTTAGGTTTTGGCAACATCATCCCCCCTGGGAAGTTAGAACCTAACATTTCAGGGTGGTATATGTCCTATTTGGTGTGTTTGCTCTGAGTTTCCCAGGTCCAAAGCATCCAGGTTTGCCCATTGTTGTCCTTAGGTCCCTGAGACATCTCACAGAGGCACTTCATTAATGGGACATTGTGGGTGGAGGCTTTTAAGGAGGAGCACTCTTCAGAGGTATGTGGAAAGGCATTCATATGACTAATCTGAAGAGATCCAAGCCCCTGTACAGGTATGTCCAGGGGTCCAGATCACAACTATGACTCCTAAGACCTAGAAAAAGTCTGAAGGAGAGAAAATAATTCTTGCTACATGCATTTGACTTTGTAGCTTCTACAAAGTGTATCATTCCAGGTCCTATAATTGACCTGTATGCACACTGTTGCCATGGGCTTCCTCCCTGACAGGATCTAACCCACCCTCTCTTAGCTACAGAACAAATACATTCTGGAGATACTGTCAAACAAACAGACCCAATATTCTTTGTTTTAGAATGGTTTGATATCCTAGACTTGTAACTAGATGCCCCATCCATCTCTGAACTCCCCAAAGACACAGAAAACAGAACTAATTAAGATCTTGATTCTCTACCAGGACAGCTGGCTCCCACAGAGATGTTGGGCATGTCTGGACACACTATAGATTGTCACAGTGGATCAGGGACTCTAGGTCTCTATGAGAACACTCAAACTAGATGCTAACTACTGTATTATCTCAGAAGCCCTTCACTGTGCATATCTGGTTCATTCTTATCACACAGGACTGTAGTGTGGAGATAAAGGTTCTAGAAAGTAATCTTTGAATATAACAATGCAGCAATCTCAAACTATTTGTCAAGTAATGGCATGGAGATTAGCACTGAAATAGCAGTTGATCTAGTTAGCAGGAAGAACAAAAGTCAATAGAGGATCAGCCCCCATCTTCTGCATCTCCACAGAAAAATCCTTAAACTTGTGTTTTAACTCACACTCATGACCATCTCTCACAAACCCTGGCTTTCTCCTGAGTTATCCCCTCAGATCTTGTCCCAATATCACTCTTCCCATCTTCTTCCTCACACTTCAAATTATCTAAGTCCTAAATCACAAGACCATCCTTGAGTCTTTCTAGTCTCTACCCACATGTCTGTTTGGTAGCTATCTTTGTTTAGTTTTGGCTCCATATCATTCAAGATCATTGCTTATTAGCATTTTATTTGTATGCTTCATTTTGATTTTCATCATTTCACACAAACACACACATACTGCAGAAGGCCTATCTGACTCACCTCCATCCTTGCCTTCCCTTCCCAATGTAATACACTGTCAGGATGTCATATTCTACAAAGCACATACAATATAAATGTCAGCAGAGAAGCATAGAACTCTGGCCTGATTTAGGCCTCTACTATGTTTTCATTCTTCATAGTTCTCACAGTGACTGCCCTACAGCTGAGGAGATTAAGACAGAAAAGTTGAGTGATGGGATCACAGAGGAGGTCAGAGCAGTCTTCAGTCCACAGGAGTCCAGCAGTCCCTCAGTACACACTACTTAAACCTCCAGGAAATTAGCTTAGATAAAACTTCTGGTGTCAGCACTCAAGGTTACTTAACATGATCATGCCCTCATGACCCTGGGAGGAAATGACCTGCTGTTTTTATAACAAGACTTCTGGCTGTGCTAAGATGCCAAGGTTTGAAGTGGAAGAATGCATCTCCTATATGTTTTTTTAAAGTAAATTATTTTTATTTAATTTTTTACATCATTCTTCATTTTGTACATTTTTTCATCTCAGTTGTAATCACCATGAACTTCCCATCAGTATTTCACCCATGTGCCATCACCATAGTCCCTCGCACTCACCCCACCCCCATTTTGATCTTGTTCCCTTCTCCTCCTCCATATAAAGGAAAAGAAAAGTGTAAGGGATCAAGAAAAAAAAGATATTTTATATGGCTATATGGTAATTGTAATAACGTAAAAACATCAAATAACAAATTTAATTCTGTATGTTTTAATGTCATAGAGCAAAAGCATTTAAAGACTTTGAGTACATGGGGATGTTTGAAGGAAGAAAGATGTAGAGAGGACAAGAAAGGAGCCTCTGGGGTCTCCTTTTTGCCAAAGCCTCTAAGTTAGAGGGGACAAGTGAGCACTGAGGTTGATGATTGCTAGGTGTAGATGCCCAAGATTCCATTTATAATTGTATTAATCAATAATGTGGAAATACAAGTAATAAGTTCATGTTATAAGAAAAAAATATGCTCCTGCCTGGTGGCACAAGGGGTTAAGTCACAGCACTATGAAGTTCTATCCCCAGCCATGGGGGTGACCCACATAGTACAGCAGACTTCTCCTGTCCTACCTGCTGCTCCCCAAGCAGTATGCTTCAGTAGATATGCCTGTTCTGTTCCTTACTCTGTCTATGGTGAATCCTCTTACTCTTGTACCTCTGGCCTACACCCCAGCTCTTATATGTATAAATAAATATATAAATAAATAAATCTTTAAAAAAAGAAAAAAGAAACTTTCTCAACTATTTTTAATGTCTTAGATCTAACATTTTAGTAAATAACTCACAAGCAATTTCTTGCATAAAATTACTAACAATGCCCCCTCAGTCATATTACACATTATCAGAACTAAAACCCAAATGTACTGAATATCGCTGCACATGTAGGCACACATCAACTAGAGGGTAATTCATCCTGAGTATGTCACCCTACAGACTCTTTCAGAAAGGCAAGTGCTGAATTCAGAAATCATCAGTCAATAATCAGGCATGGTCTATAAAACTTTATGTCTGCATTCATAAAGATTAGGGAGTGTGAAGTATTATTTTTTTTGATGATGCTTATTAAAGGTGAGCAGAGTACATAAGAGAGTAGTTAACAGGTGTTTCACTTGACAGTGATTGGCCCTATGTTGTGAGTCACAATGACAGTAATGTCCCAGCAGAGCCGACTCAGCCACGGGGAATGAATGCTCATTCTATAGCAAGATTTATTGATCCAAACATTCTATAACATTCCCCATAAAATATTTTTTTAATCTAAAGTATATGACTCTTTAACAAATTTCTGTATGAGAATTCTAACTTTAAAAACACTGAATAACTAAAAACAAAATGAGACCTATACTAGCATAAATGAACAAATTACTTCCTATAAAATGGACTAGACAACAAATTAAAAGGATGTTAGAAATTTGAAAAGAGTTGAGGTAACATTGAATTTAAAAAAAATGTTATACTCAGATATAAAAATGTTCACAGAAATGGATAATACAATAATTAATATCCCATAAAGCAAAAGGAAAGATATACATGAAGAAACAATTAACAGGGAAGACATCTAAGGAATTAATTAGCACTTGAAAATTATTTAGTCTTTCATTAGTGAAAATGAAAATCAACATCAACCCTCTTTCACTCACTTAAATTAAGGGAGCCTTTTTGAAATTATAGCATTTGGAGGCTAAGAGGGAGGAAGGGTAGACAAAAGAATCAAGGAGGAATAAATGATGTTAAGAAAGTAAATACCCACTTCCCTACATACACACAGCTGGTACATGGGTACATTTAAAATGTAAAATATATACTCAAAATACACCCAAAACGGTGATGTGTTTAAATCAAAATATTATTTATGAATGTGTTCATGTTCTCCCCTCACTTAATATACTTTATTTTCCTTAAGCATTAACATGGCATGAGCCTAATGTGGGTACAGAAATTGAGATGAGGAAGGATAATCAGGAAAGTGACTGGCTGCTTATCATTCAGTTCATTCACTCAATGAGTAAATAGATACAGAATCTGTGCTAGATGCTGGGCTCAATGAGAGAAAGCTAGTCACTATGTTCCTGACCTCGAGGAACGGATATGGTGTTTAGTTTCTGGAAGAAATACAACAAAAACAATTCTGTTTCTTCATTACAAAGAGGACCAAAAACTACATACATGCATGCCAGGTGCAAAGGGTAATGCCTAACATAGGTAAAAGTATAATATTTGGTACAATAACACTGACAATCTTATTAAACTAGGGTAATAAATATATTGGTATAACCTTTCTATAAGGTAATTTATATCAAGGAGGATACTATATTGCTATTTTGAATCTGCAATCATATTTTCAGCTTGCACAGTGTGATGTGAGAACACAGATCTTTCTGAGGTGAATACAGTCAAATGTGTGGGGAGACACTGGAAACTGTTAGTAGTTGCAATATCTTCACTTCTTAGACCATTTCACAGACATATGCAAATCCTCACTTCTCAGACCTTCATCTCCTACTCTATCATGTGTGATTGGACCATGCTCTCTCTAGAGTCTCCAGTAATAGCTACATTATATAATTTATTGAAACATTTTAATTAACAGAGAAATGCAACATACCTGTCTTTAATATGCTGAGGAGAACCAAGGCACCTAAAGCTGCCATTGATCATGATGGCGAGTCTTGTGCAAAGAGCTTCACACTCCTCCATACTTGGGGAAAAGAAATAATAACACATGAATGAGTGTTTTCATGAGATGCAAAGCTTGAATTAAATAGATATGAATAAGTAGATAAAATGTCATTACTACAAGTTAGCTAATTTTTATATAGAAACCTCACAAACCTCCCTCCCCCCAAAAAAAAAATATATTTTAAAACTGGTAAGAATTTGTTTAGGTAATTAGTTCCATAATTAATTTAAAAAAAAAAACAGCAACCCCATATTTCAGAAAGAACTGCTCTAAAATATGAGAGAGACCTTCAATCTGGTTGGGTGAATTTTAGTTGCTCTTAATGAGTAAAGTACATTACAGTGTTCTTAGTCTCAGTATCTGGGCATGGTTTCACCATTTCCTTCTAGAGTTAGGAATAAGGAGAAAAATGGATAGGTGAATTCAAAGAAGAACTGCGATTAGGAAGACTTTTCAGCAGAACATAGCTAGTTTAGAATAGTGGAATCAATCACAAGATGTACTGAGCTTCATGAATAGTTAATCTTTTCTTTTACATTGTATGAAAATGTACATGTCTAGTCTATGGAAATAAAACCATATTACTAATAGGGAAAACATGAAAATGAAGACATATATGAGAAATTGCTGTGATATGTGGTCTTTCTGAAATGCTGAGATAATTATGTTATGTAAATTAAAAGGAATTTTTACCATGACAACAGTTTATCCAATCTTAGGAACTATACCTGAAAATGGAGACTTAACAAATGCTAACAAAATGGATATAGGAATTTAGAAAGTTTCTGAAATTGACAGAGCAAAAGGATCCTTCTATGTTGAAACATATTCCCTATTTTAGATTTGTTAAAATTAATTATTTCAATTTACTTACTTTTCTGAAGAGAAACAGAACAAAGACATGAAAAGGACAAACAACAAAGGCAGGATTTCAAGCTATAGCCAACTCAAAAAAATAGCAAATTATTTCACCAGATTCTACTATAAAACTAGACAAAACTAACATACACAACCACTTCAGGATTCTGGAAATTGACCAAAGGTTCATAACAATCTGAGAAATACTAATTGTTGACAAAGTAATACATGCAAGAAGAGAAGGGTGGTGATTACATGGATCTAGTAGATAGTTACATGGCACTATACCACACAAAGGTAGAATAAATGTCTTATTCAAGAACACAAGGGAGATTATCCAGAATAGGTCATATATTGAATTAAAAAATAAATTCACAAAGATTTAGATCATATAAATGTCAAGCAGAAATTATCAAAATAGCAGAAGAAAGCAAAAAAAATCTTTTAATACATGGAAACTGAACAATAGGCTACAGAGAAAAAAGAACTACTGGATTAGTGAGAAAAAAAACAAAGAAACATACCTATCTGTGATTATAAATCTATCTATCTATCGATCTATCTATCTAGCTTGTCTTTAGACAAATTAAAATAAGGAGTCAACCTTCCAGAACTTACAGAATGCAACAAAAGTAGTACTAAAAGGAAGGTATATTGCTATACAGATCCACATCAAGAAAAAAGAAAGAGTGTGAATAAGAATCCTTCCTCAACTCAAGAATTAGAAAAGGAAGAACAAGCAAATCTAAAAGCAAGGAGAAGGAAATAATTCAATGTAGAATAGAAATAAATAAAACAAAAATAACAGACCAAATGATTAATGCAATCAAGTTAGCTTTTTTTTGATGAAATAAACAAAATAGATAAATGTGTAGCAAGAGACACTAAGAAAATAAAGAGAAACTCTCAAATAAATAGGAGAGTAGTCTAGTTTCATTGTTCATAATGGAGTGGTACATTTTTAATAGCACAATTTATTGAAGAAACTTTCCTTATTATAGTGTATATTTTTTGCCCATTTGTTGTAAATTAATTGACCGTATAGCTTAATTACATTGATCTGTATATCTGTTTTTTGTTCCATCATCATATTGTTTTCACTATTATAGTTTGTAGTATAGTTTGAAGTCTGGCATATTATACCTCTGGCCTTCTCCCTTTTAATCATATGATCTTTAGCTATTTGGATTCGTTATTGTTGTTATTCCATATGAATTTCAGTAATATATATTCCATTTCTCTGAATAATGTCCTTGAGATTTTTACTGGAATTGCATTGAATATGTAAATTGCTTTTGGTTGGATGACCATTTTGATATTAATTCTTCTGATCCATTAGCAAGAAATACTTTTATTTCTTTGTGTTTTCTATTTATTTTAACAGTGTTTTACAGTTTTCCTTGTTCATGTTTTCTCATCTCTTCTTTTAGGCTTATATCACATCTCTCAGAACTCACAAATGAATTTTAGAAAACGTTCAGAGATGAGCTAATTCTATACTGCTCAAACTCTTCAAAAAATGATTACTGAGATGGAGAAATATTTGTATATCATATATCTGGTAAGGGGCTGAGATCAGAGATCTACTCATACAACTCAACATCACACACACACACACACACCACAATAAAAAAAAAAATGGACAGAAGAGTTAAACAAGCACTTTTCCAAAGAACAGCTATAGACAACAAACATGCACATGAAAAAAACCATCAGGAAATATAAATCAAGAAACCTCACACAGAGTAGAATGACTCATATCAAAATGACCAGAAACAAGAAGTGATGAAAAGGAAATGGAGATATAGGTATTTCTACACTGTAGGGAGTACAACTGGTTCAATACTTACAGAGAGCATTATGAAGGTATCTAAAAGCATTAAAAATAGCTTTTTAATTTTACTCCTAAACATATACTAGAAAGTTCAAAATTACTAGTCAGAAAGCAAATTTGCACCTTTAAGTACATTGCAAAACTGTTTACATAGCAAAACTTTGGAAACATCCTAAGTACCCAACAATAAATGAGTGGGTCAAGAAGATGTGGTACATTATATAACATATACATTTGTAATATAGAATGGAATATCACTCAGAAGTTATAAAAATAGAAATTCGTATCATTTGTATCTACACAAATAGAGCCAGAGCCATAAGGCAGGAGAAAGACACATACTGGATGGTGTAACTTATATGGGGAATACAATGGAACCAAACTAAGGTTCACTGAAAGACAAAGTTAAAAACTACCTCTTGAAAGCTAAAACACCCAGAAGAAGGAGGGGGGGAAAAAAAAAAGCAGAGTGTTTGAAACATGATTAAAAATGAAGGGAGCACAATGGAATATTGTGATGGACTCTGTATGATTTGGTGGTGGGTGTACTATGGTGGTGATGCTGCAGGTGGAGGTGGGGGAATGATATACTTCCAAAATACCAACAATTACATAGCCTAATTTAACCACTATTAAGACAATTAGTTATTATTTTTTAAATATAAGGAAAAGGGCCCTTCCTGATGGTACAGTGGGTTAAAGCACAGCACTAAGAAGCTAAAGCCACTTCAACATGAGTTCAGTCCCTGGCCCTGGATGTGACCCAGATGGCACAGCAGACCTCTCCTGACCTGCCCGCTGCTCCCCTCAGCAGTGTACTTCATCAGTCGGCCTGTTCTGCTCCCTACTCTGTCTCTGGTGAAGCCTCTCATACTGTCCCTGCACCTCAGGCCTGTATCCCAGTCCTCTATGCATAAATAAATAAATCTTTAAAATATATATACATGTAAGGAAAAAAATGAGGGTGGTAATCTGTACTATTCTAGCCTCATGAACATGCAGTCTTGGTAGACTGATAAATTCTTTGCCAGCCTGAAGGGAGTAAATGCCATTTGAATTATTACCTGGTAACATAGTTCATATAAATGACTCTTAGAGCCAAGCAAACAGAAATGGCCAACAGCTTCTTTATCCAAAGAATGTATCTCATATTTTCTAGACTGATAGTGTGATGGTGTTAAACATAGAATCTGCTGATGTGGTAAAGGCCAAATGGGCCCAAGTCAACCTGGCTTGCCATGTCAACCAAAAGCAAACCAAATGACCTTGAAGAAAACAGAAGAACCCTGAATATATAAAAAGTGCCAACTAGAATAAACCTGAAACAGAATATTCTTTGTGTTAACAGAAAGATCCAGGGCCTGCCTGGTGGCTCAGGGGTTAAGTCTCAAGGGTATCAAGGGTAAGTCTCAAGGGTATTTTGTGGCCTGAATTAGATCCCTAGTCAGGGAACTGACCCACATCTAGCACAGTAGACCTCTCTGTCTCACCCACTATTCCCCCTTGGAAGATTATTTCAATATATCCACCTTTTCTGCTTCCCACTTGGTGAATCATTCTCTCCTTGCACTTCTGGCTTACTTGAAAGTTATTTTGTTTGTGTAAACAAACAAAAAACAGAGATCCACTGCAAAACAAAAAGCTAGTTAACTGGATATGATTGAATATAATCTCCATCTAGGTAATTAGCAATTAGGCCAGTTTCTAGGAACAACTATTTCTAAGTTAAATAAATTAAAACAAAATTTTAAAAGAATAAACAATAGGAAGTTTCTGGGTATCCCTAGATGTTAGAAATAGGGAATACATATCACTGAAGCTATTGTAAATCAATCAAAAGAATAAAGAAGACCTTGTTTAAAATATTAAACTATGACAATAATAATCAATAAATAGAGATTATGAAAGAAACAAATTATTTAAATAAATTAAAATATTTTCCTTGACTAATAGAGTACATATAATACAAAAAAAAAAAAAATCAGTATAGAGGCCCAAAATAAATTTGAGATGTCAGAATAAAAACATAGTGAATTATAAGGTAGGTCTATGAAGAGATGTTCTCTGATAAGGTAGAATAGCATACTTGAAGAGAAATGCATAGAAACTCCGAGATCAAAATGACACCATTTTGAGTTTAACTTATAGACAGTAAAAGTATGAAAATGAATGGAAACATAGAAATGGCCAAATATATGAATAAAATGCCTCTACAATTATTTAAAAAAGTAATAATTGCACTTTAGTAATACAGTGAATTTCAGATAGGATAAATAAAAAGAAATCTACTTCTGGTCATATAAAAGTTATACTGTTGAAAATCAGTTAGAAGTCTTGAAAGCAAAAGGCAGATGATTCATTAAGTAAAAGGAAACATCAGAGTAATCAATGGCTGACTTGTGATAGGAAAAAAAGTAGGTGAGAAAAAAAAAGATGGATCATATATGCATTTAGAAAATGTGAAAAGAAAATACACAACACTAGAATTGTTATAATGAAAACACAAAGTAGTCAAGGACATGAAGAAACTAAAAATGTTAATGTTTCTGAGAATATAAAATGACAGTGTAACTTCGGAGAACAGGTCTATAGTACCTTAAAATGTCAAACAGAAATTTAGCATGCAATCTAATTCTTTAAAAATGACCAAAGAAAAATAAAATCACATGTTCAAATCACAAAAACACCTTCCATGTGACTTTTCACAGCATATTACATATAACAGCCACACAATAAACTAAACACATAAACTGGTAATGGACAAAGAAAATGTGGTCTAGCTACAAAAGTGAATACTGCCAAAGGAGGGGCTGGCTAATTATTCAACTTCTAACAACGAAGAGTGGAGAAATTCACTGTAGTGTTGACAATGATTCACTAACTATGGTTGCTGATGAGAAGTCCCTCATGCTAGAAATTCCTAGACTGTAGGTCCCTTACTGTTTTTTTACCTAGGTTCTCAAAATTGTTTTTGTAGCAAGCAATCTTGAAGGTTAATCAAGACCTTGAAGGAAATATGTGGTCAAACTAAAAAAAAAAAACACTAAGTTTTCATTTCAGCTAGTGGTTCTTGGACAGAAAGAAGCTGAGACGTGGATTCAGATGGACCTCAGGAAGAGTCTAGTCTCACCTTGAACAGTAACAATAGATGAGGCAAGGGTGTGTTCAGTGACAGAGCTTTGGGTTCAGATTTTATTTGCATCACCCACAGGTTGTGTGGTCATGGTTATATTACTCAAGCTCTCTGTTTCAATGTCCTAGTATACAAATATGGATGAATAATTCCTAATAGTGTGGTGTTGTTATAGACATGAAGTAATGCATGGGTAGTTCTATTTCTGGCACTTGATGCTCCACAAATCTTTGCCTCTAAGCCTTGTTGTAGAAGTGTCCCTACAGGGGTCAGAGCTCACCTGTGGGAGGTCAGCACAGCAGCACAGCCTCCCTGGACTTCCTTCATTATTGTTTTCCACAGGTACCGCTTAGAGCAGGGATCCATCCCAGAACTGGGTTCATCCTAAGGGGAAAAATAATACACAGGAAATGAGAAACTACATGGGAACGCAGGCACTGCCACTGGGGTCAGGCTGGACAAAAAGTTACTGCTTTGACTCTAGCAGGCGGCTCTCTCACTGCCATGAACTATGCTCAGAAAATTGGGGTACAACTTCCGATCAGCCCATTTACCCTTGATGCTTGAGGTAGATAGGCTGACCTTGATCAGGTAAACCTCTATAAAACTTCAGAATGATATACTGTAAAAAGACAAAGATAACTGGGAAAAAAAAAAGCTGCTTCATTTGTTATTCATTTGTTATTTATTTAGCAACATCAACTAAAGTGATGTTTCTTGAAACCTGAAGTTTTCTTCCTTAATAAACGCTGGCAAACTTTTGAGAGAACTCTTTCTAGATTATATGATACAATTCTGTATCTTGTTCTTTTTTTTTTTTTTTATAAAGAAGGAAAACAATGCCTGGTCTTTTCTGCTAACCAACTGATATATGTACATATGTGTATACTTATAAGCAAAACTAGAAGATGTGTTTACCATGGACTCTTTGTAAGAGAGTTGATCATGGGATTCTGCATTTCACTGATTTCTGTCAACTGTAAAATCCTCTTGTCTTTATTCTGAGGAAAATCTAAAAGGCCCTTCAATGCATGTGGATACTCCCCATCACCACAGTCACTAACACTGATGTGGCCATGAGTGTGATGTGACTTATCTCTTCCATGGCTTTAAGTGACTTCATTAAGTCATTTTCGGATCAGGAAGAAACATGCATCAGGCATGCAAGGAGGCCTTGTTATGTGAGTTGCAGAAACAGGATCAGGACCCTGGCGATTGACTTAAGTCCTTACTGGATCTCTCTTCCATAGTCCTGAGTAACAAAAGGGAGCCAAGACCAAGGCTTGTGAAAGGAGGCGAGGGCAAGGTGAGCGGGCACATGCTCCAGGGAAGAACCCTGTGCCCAGAGGAGACTGCTGGCCTCAGCTTAGCACAGGGGCACCCTGTGGAATGTAAGGAACAGCCACATGTCCTGAGCAACTCACTGCAGGCCTGCCTCCTCTTACTAGAAAAACATAACTTGTAAACTACAGAAGTGTGGGTTTTATTACCAGACTCTAGAGAACAGACTGGAATCATCTTTGATTCTGCGGCTTGAAAAAAAAAAATTAAAAAGCAAACTTATAAGCAGTTAAAAGGAAATCCAATTCAAATTCTAGAAAACAATCTGATGTAGGCCTTCTGAATCTTCACTAGCTCCTCCCCACTGAAATGCTGTTTCTATTTAATGAACAAGAAAAAAAAATGTTTCTCACATTTATTGATGTGCCTCAGACTTTCTAAAAGTGTGAAATGTGAAAATTACTTTTACTTATTATTTGTGTGATATTACTTTTAACTGTTCTTAAAATGCCAGCAAACAACTAGCTCTATTTCCTGACACCTACCACCTCCAATTAACTTTTATCAAATCAAACCAGATTAACTGCAATTCCCAAATAAACAAAAGGCAACCTCACTCAAAACTATTACATAAACTCTGCTTGTTCCCTGAATACTCTCCCCTCCCTACCAATTCCACCCTGCATCTCGACATCCCTCCTCAGGATTCACCATTGACAGTATCCCTACTGCTATAACAGCCATGCTATCTGCAGAGAGAAAAAGGATTTGTGTGTGTGTGTGTTTGTGTGTGTGTGTTTGTGTGTGTGTGTGTGTGTGTGTAGAATGGCTGCAGCGTAAGCCAGAGATGAGGGGAGCTGAATGGATTCACCAGAGACAGAATGGGGAGCAGAAAAGGTGTACCTATTAAAGTATTTACTGCTGAGGGGAGCAGTGGGAGAAATAGGAGAAGTCTCCTGTGACATGTGGGTCAGCTCTCTGGCTGGAGATGGAACTCAAGATGTAGTGGTGATAGCACTGAGACTTAGTCCCTGGGCCACCACGTAGGACCAGAAAAATCACCACGTAGGACCAGAAGAAACAGCTACTCACCAGCAAAAGAAGATCAGGCTTCCCTAGCAAAGCCAGGGCAGTGGAGAGCTTCCTCTTGGTTCCCCCACTGTAGGTGGCCACCAGTTTGTCCACGTGGGCTTCCAGGTGTAAGCGCTTCACAAGGTCCCCAGCAACCTGAATGAGAAGCAGCCTCCATAAAAGCCTCCCCATTTACAGAGGGGAGCCAAAACACCTGGACCTCAACCCAGAATCTCACCCAGTGCCTCATCATTCTCACATATATACCCTTGTATAGTTCAGGAAACACCTCCCCCTACGACACAGTACTAACAGAATGAGCTGGTTTCATGCCTTGGTTTATCAAAATGATATTACAATACTCTGGAATCTGAGGCTCAGGCAAGTAGAGTGGGTAAGAAATATAATCAAATGGGGCCCAGATGAGTGACCATAGAAAGTGAGTCAAAAAGAAGACTGAGAATAGAACTGATGGCAATAAAATTGAAGTAGAGAGATGGAACCTCAAAGGAGCAGAGAACTATAGGGAGAGGTTTTAATATCCACGTAAGACAGTCCCTTTCCATTTACTGACCTCTCTCCTCATAGTCAGGTTAACAAATTAACTAGAGTGGAGATAGAGGAATGTTTCCTCTTTGTCACTGCTGGGGACCATGTGCACATCCCAAACAGGACACCTAGTAAAGAAAACCTGTTCTCCCCAAATCCATAGTTGATATGCATTGTTCCTCCTCTATCTTTTACCTTGCAACCTGCCAGCTTTTCACACATGATCAAAAGCCCAGCTTGTTTGCTTTCTCTCCAGTAGAAACAAATCCCTTCTTCCAAGTATGATGTGAGTCTCCACAGTACTTTGCACCATGCTACATTCTATGTTCCCAGTCCTTTCCCTGTGCAGGGCTGGTATACTCTAAAGGACTATGAGAATGGGCAAATACTTGCATACACACTTTAAATCACTAAATAAAACACAGCTTTAAATTAATGTATATACTATTTTTTGATACATTCATAAAAGTTGGGATAATAGTAGCAGTAATAGTAACACCGACAATGGTGAAATATTAGAACCAGCAAAATATTAGGATAATATGTATGTTTTCCAGTAAAAACTTTCAACATAATGTGTTCCTTCTGTTGTGTGCCTTAGATTAACATGGAGGGCCCTCCCTGGTGGCACAGTGGGTTAAAGCACAACACTAAGAAGCTAAAGCCACTTCAGCATGAGTTCGATCCCTGCCCCGCAGGTGATCCACATGGCAAGGCAGACCTCTCCTGACCTGCCCGCTACTCTCCTCAGCAGTGTACTTTGTCAGTCAGCCTGTTCTTCTCCCCTCTATCTCTGGAGAATCCTCTCACTACTCCTGCACCTCTGGCCTGTACCCCAGTTCTGTATGCATAAGTAAATAAATCTTTAAAAAAAATTAACATGGAAAGTGTGAAGAATCTCAAGGATTTATTCAGATGTTAAGTAGTTAATAAAATGCAGATTTCAAGGCCCAAAATATCCATGAGGAGTCTTGAATCTCCTGTATCTACTAAAGAACATCATCTTGAAGTCAGTGTTTTTTTCTTACTGGAAGGAGCAATACCATTTTTCCAAGATGACTATTCTTTCCCATGACTGCACTCAGTCCACTTATTTCATTATAATAAGCTAAAACATATTGAAATAAACATAACATGTTCAAAACATAATGATTCAAAATACTAACAAAAATATTTAATGTTATTTTGTGGGTTAGGAAAATATCAGCTAGCAGGGCCAGAATTACAGCCATCAACCACTGCCATTTTTTCCCCAGGGACAGCCTTTCAGATCTACAAAACTAGTGTAGGGTGAACATTCACATGAGAGATGAAGTAAGTGGCACTTCCTAGAAGGGAAGGCACTATTTAAGTGCAAGAGGAGAACTAAGAAATAAGTGGAACTTTGTTAGGAAGCATTTACTTTCTAGAAGAGCAGGACTAAGAGTTGTAGGGTCAGCAAAAAAGACATCTTGAGAAAATAACTTTCGGATTTTATTTTTAGACCCATGAGGTATGCCAAAAACATCTGACATTATAATGTGAGTGTGTATATCAGAAAGACATTTTTATTTCATTCCATTCATTTTATTCACAGACTAACAATATATAATTGAAAAATGATAAGCCAATGAAGTAAAGAAAGAATAAAAGTATCCAGAAAACTTCTAAATAAACTTGTCAAGCTCTGCTATTGCTTATTTTTATAAGACCAGAATACATGTCAGGTTTGCAGAAATTCACACAAGTTTAAGAGTTGCAGCCTGCAGATTTTGGATTGGTTAACCACAGGGAAGAGCCCAAAGTTCACATATTACTAATTTGATCTAATGCTTTCTGAATGTCATGTTTTATAAAAATTATGGAAAATGGTCTAATGAAAGGTATTTTTTGTTGCACTTATTATTTCGCTATGTCAAAATAATAACATATGTAATCTCTGCATTTGTGGTTGGCAAAATACTGTGAAAACTGCAAAATGTCATAAGTTAATGGAATCTCACTCTGCTATTAGATATTTTTCTCCCATAAAGTTCTAAAAATTACACTGCACTTAAGGCAAAAGCTTGGGATTCACTCATCTTTATAGCTTCAGTGACTAATCATCTTTGACACATAGTACAGTGCCTGTAATTATCATTTGAACCAAAATAAATTGCCCAGAGATACACTCACACATATATATCCATGTGACTCCAGAGGCAAAAGCTTTTCACTAGCATACATGATGGGGACATCAACATTTTCTGTGAGATTAAAGATCAAAAAGAGGGATAAAGTAAGAAAAAGGGATGAGGAATTTAGGACAGAAATGCTATTCTTCTGAACTTCACTCTTATCTCCTCCTAGTTCTCATCCCCTCTGCGTTATAACTTGTAGTTCCTTGTAACAAAACTGCATAGAAGAAAACTCTAGATAAAAGTCAAAACTGACTGTAAGTACCAAGACACAGTTTGGATATTCCTGAAAAGTATTTGCAGGCATTAACAAAATTACCTGGATAAATTACCATTTCTGTTCTAGAGAGAACCTAAATACAGAAACCCCTCTTCCTGTCTCCATTAGTTGCATGGTTTGCTTTAAGTGTGGTTTAGCTTACAGCTTTCTCCAGCATCCCAGTCATCTGATCCCTGTCTGATAAATCACTCTTGATGTAATTTTTTGCATCCAGTTAATTGACAATTGACTTCAGGCTCACTGATAAACAGTGTGAAAAGCAATGAGGAAAAATTGAAACTGATTATATCAACTTGCCAAACTAGATTCAAGCTAAATGAAGAAGTAATTTTTTCTCTCACATAGTTAAAATCAGGAGGGTGGGTGGGGTGGACCCTCATTGGTGGCTCAGTGTGTTATAGGTCAGCACTATGAAGCTATAACAGCCGCTGCAGAAGAAGTTAACTCCTCCACCAGGGAGGTGACCTACCTGGTACAGCAGATTTCTCCTGCCTTGCTCACTGTTCCCCTCAGCAGTGTATTTCAGTCAATCTACCTGTTCTGTTGCCCATTCTGTCTCTGGTGAATCCTCACACCCCTCACCGCTTGCCTGTACCCCAGTTCCTGTATGCATAAATAAATAAATCTTGGAAAAAAAAAAAAAAAACATTGGGAGCGTAGGGACTGAAAGATACACCCTTACACACAAGAGAGTAGCTGGCTGAGATGTGCTGAGAGGCCCCTCATATTCCGTTCTAGCGTAGTCAGGGTATGGGTTCGGCAGGGAAGGGAACAGAGGCAAGAGGGGTTCTACAAGGCTGCCAGGAAGGGCCATCCAGAAGCGCAGGGATATCCTTGTAGTCACAGAGAAACTGTCTGTGACTGCCTGTGCCATGAAGAACTCCTGTTAGAAGAGTCACACAATGGCTCCATGAAGTTTCACTTCTCTTGACACCCAGTAGTATACAAAATATAAAGAGTTTTCATGCACTAGGAATTGCTCCTGAAGCTTGTAGAAACCTGAATATACTGAACTTCAGGCAAGGGTCTATTTCAGATAAAGGTTGGTTTGTCTGCTTTCAGAACAAACTCTAGCCAGATCTTCACCAAGTGACTTGGTTGGTTTACTGTCTTAATTATCCCACCCTCCTCATCTCTGAAATGGGGAATAAGGGTTTTATCTACCCTATAAATGCTGCTAGAAAGTACACAGAATACTGCCCAGCCCAGAATATTAGCTAAAATTGTTTCTGTTATTTTATAGTAAGCCTTACTGATTATTTTGTGATAAACATGTTAGGCTAGATATGTGAGTTTTATATGTGTGCTTTACATATATAGGAGATGGAAATTTACTTTCCAAGAAGATGTAAGAAAGTGTGCTGGCATGTTAGAGCTGATAAACAAGTAGCATTCCTGTCTGGGTAAAAGCCAGCTGCATGAAAGAAACGAAGCCAGCTCCTAACTGGCAACCATTAAGTAACACTTCTCAGTGAGGGTACTCAGAAAAGCAAGCCAACCCTGGAAGACAGTTGAGTATCACAGGACTATTCCCCTGGATGCAGAGAAGTACAAAGCTGTACTAGATTGATAAGAACTTGTTCAAAGGAACATTTCCCAAATATAACTAAGGGACCAACTGCGGCATTTGCCAAGCATTTACCTCTTCAAGTAAAAACTAGAGACGGATACAGACAAATACCTTTCAGAGACTTAGCCAATGATTCGTCCTAGATTTTAATAGCTGTTTGACTGCAATAAGCCAGCTGACCGTTACCTTTGCTTTAAGTCAAGAGGTGGGCAAATGGTTAATGGACCAGTACCCCTCCAAGAAGGTGAGATAATGTTCTAATTTCACTTAAACTTATAAAGCACAAATTAAAAAAAAAGAGGTGAAAGCATCACACAAACCCACATAGAATGAATTGCCATTACCCAGTGAAGGCAATGTTATTAGTTTCGCCTCCTATGAATCCTCAGAGAAATACATCATGTGCACAATACACTTACTAAAATGCACTACATCAGTCACTTATTTCTGCTTCTTGTTCAGAATCCAGAAGTTCCAAAAGCACCCAAAGACTCTCTACCATGAGGTCAGGAAAAGGTGAAACTGCTCAAAGCTCCTGTCATTCTGTTGGTTCTTTACCCAGTACATATGCTGAGCTTTGGGCATGTTGTTGAGCTGTGTTTGTTGAAAGGACAATGACACCTACCTATTGATTTCTACTCCAGCCTTTATAGAGACAGAGACCAATGGGGCAGGAGCATCCCTCAGTCCTCCTGAGCCACCCAGGAAGGAACACAGATCAGCAACTGCCAGCCCACTCACACCACTCACTAGAAATCCTTTCCAACAACCTGAAAATGTCCATACCCTTAAAATCTTTCTCTGTGGGCCCAAGAGTTACAAAGTCTAGGAAGTTTATTATTGGTAACAAAGTCCAGAAAATGTAAAAGTTGCTGGGAGAGGAAACAAAGAGTAAGAGGCTATAATGTTGAAAAGAATCATTTACCTTAATATTTTCCACATGACTTCTTCAAGTAGACATATTTTTAATGGAAAATAAACACTTATATATATTTTTTGTGTTTCCTTCAACATATTAAAACTGGAAGTAGCTTTCCAATTTTTATGATACTGTGATTCCTTCCCTGGGGTGAGAGTGCAGACCTGGGGTATGTGATGTTGGTCTAGCACACACAGCTGGTCCCATTGCTGGGAAACCCAAGTTCTTACCTCAGGGATGCAGGGCTTTGGAATGCCACGCAGGTGACAGTAATATTGGAGGTGTTCCCAGCCAGTCAGGAGCTCATCCAGGGCATCCTGCTGAGGACAGTAGCCGATGCGAACCCCTGTCCTGCCCACGAAAGAGGGGTCCACATCCTCTCTGTGAAGACAAGAGAAAGCAATTCAACTTCCCAAATAGCAATTCAGCTCTTACACTGGCCTATCAACAATTCATTACATTCTGTTCAATAAAAATAATTAACTGAGCATAAATGGGTTCAATGAATAAACAAAGTCACCCATGTGTCTAGAGCACTGGCTTGGTTCTGGAAGCAGAGACCACAGGTACTTTGGCTATTAAGGGAAAAAACAAATAAAAAACATAGAGCAATGTATTTGGCATATGGTGTGTTCAGTAAGTTACTGTTATAACTATTATGTTTCCACATGGAAGAAATTTGCATGCTATATTTCAAGAAATCAATGGCTAAGGGACTAAGCTATCATTTAATGCCAGAATTTAAATATTTTATTATAAAAATGTATATAATTTTCACTGAATATATAGAAAAAATAGATAATATGGAAAATCCATAGTTCCAGCCCTCGATGTTTACTACCATTAATATTAGAATGTCACTTCTTCGAGAGTAACTATGCTACATGTGTGTATAGTATTATTCAAAATCATACCTATTTAAATAGCAAAAATAGGTTAAGGAATACAAAAGTACAAACACAAGTTTATTTTATAAACTTTCAGTTATAAAATCAATAAATCCCAGGAATAGGAAGGACCGAATGGTGACTGTAGCTAGTAAAATGTTGCATGCTTACAAGTTGTTAAGGGAGTGAATCTTTTTAAAGGTTTATTTATTTATACAACAAGGCCAGTGGTGTGTGTGTGGGGGTGGTGGTGATAGGATTCACCAGAGATAGAGTAGGGGACAGAACAGGCAGATGAACTGATACACACTGCTGAGGGGAGCAGCAGTGAAAAAGGTGAGGTCTGCTGTACCATGTGGGTCTCACTGATTTGAGATACAACTCATTCTGCAGTGACTTCGGATAGCTTCATAGTGTTCATATTTTTAACCCTTTAAAAATATAAATCCATGTGTGATAGCTAGACTTCTTTTGAGCAATACCCAAGGTATACAAATAGTGAAACATTGTTTTGTACATCTGAAACTAATGCCTTGTCAAACATATCTCAATAAAATCTCTTGATTTATTTCTAAGTTTAGCATGATATATACACATCATGGAAAACTTAAGATGAGTCAAGAGTGACCACATTACCATTTTGAATTGTTTTTATGTATTTTAAATAAAATTGATTGCTAAGATTATTGAGAGCACTTTGGGGTAGAAACATCCTATTTCATAAATGGAAAATTAAACTTTGAAAAAAAAGGCTTGTTGCTGAGAATTCATGATTGCTACAGAGACTATTATTAGCATCTCATTAAAAAAACAGTGAATCTAGTCATTCAATGATTATTAATATTTTATTTTTCTTAAAATGATATGCAGAGGCCTCCATGAAGGCACAAAGGGTGACGGTGCAGCACTGTGAAGCTGTCTGCAGCCTGTGCAGCTGTCTTCAGTCCCAGTAGCATGAGTTAGCTCTCCCACAGGGAGCTGATC